GCTTTTACATCGGACAGGCGAGAGCCGATGCTCTCCTGTGGCACAGATCCAAAACGAAGTTACCGCGTCGCGGCCCATTAAATACCAACGCAGCGGGTTTAATTGAATTATGGGACTCACAAGAGGTCCCTTTTTTTCTCTCCCTGGGCCTGGTCCCAGCTGTGCATTAAATTCACAACGTGGTCCCCTTTCACCGTGAAAATCACTCGAGAAATCGCGTGTCATCCTGTTTAATAGTTGATCCCTTTCGCGTGGACAACGTCGTTTAGACCGCTTAACTCTTTATCGTCGCGCTCTCGAGTTTTTTGTCAACCCAATTGCGTTTTATTCTTCACCAAGTGCGAGATGATTGTTGGCCATGTGGGTGATTGTGCTTGATGTTGCGGAAGATATTCGGTGTTTCGGGGAGTGAGGCACTTTTTGAGATGGTTTTTTAGACGAAATTGGATTGTTGAATTTATTGTTCAACCCTTTCACTGCTGTCGGCGCTTAGAGGTGCTTTGAAAATTTTGTGCTGTAGGAAAATGAATTTTTGAGAAATTTTGTCGATACGGTTGAATTCTTAGCACTTTAATCTTCCGTTGCACATATTTTTCATGAAAATATCCCTTTTCGTTTAATGAAGGTTCCATTCCAGAGAACTGCCCTGGACCATTCGTGACAGACACAGCACACAGCATTTTAAATAACAATTTCAATTACCAGTGAAAACGAAGCAAAGAAATTACCCAATTTCAACAAATATTCTTTATATTCTTTAGCACATATTTTTTCGTTCAATGAATGTTTTATTTCCGAAAATTGCCCGTAGCATTCGTGATACACACAGCACACAGCGTGTTAAATACAGTAATGTCTCTACAAGTGTCAGCCAGTTTGGATTCTACAAGTGTCCGTATAGATGGTCCTACGCCTAGGTCTGCGTCATTGCTGCGCCTATGTTATCTCGCTCGCAGTCAGTCAAGCGTGTAACGCTACACCACTCGGTTTCTTTTACGAGATTTCACGGCTCGACAATTCATAATAGAAAAATATAATTTCTTTAATTTTACTTTTTTTCATCTGAAATTCTTTTTAACATGTTGGTGAGATTTTTCCGATCAAAATGATATCAAACACGATGTAATTTGAACAACATTTACTTATTAATACTTATTGAGTAATTAATTTAATGTCGGCCTACCTCCACGTAAAAAAAAAAAATGTAGGGCCGATTCTACAAGAGTCAGTCAAATGTAGGGCCGATTCTACAAGAGTCAGTCAAATGTAGGGCCGATTCTACAAGAGTCAGTCAAATGTAGGGCCGATTCTACAAGAGTCAGTCAAATGTAGGGCCGATTCTACAAGAGTCAGTCAAATGTAGGGCCGATTCTACAAGAGTCAGTCAAATGTAGGGCCGATTCTACAAGAGTCAGTCAAATGTAGGGCCGATTCTACAAGAGTCAGTCAAATGTAGGGCCGATTCTACAAGAGTCAGTCAAATGTAGGGCCGATTCTACAAGAGTCAGTCAAATGTAGGGCCGATTCTACAAGAGTCAGTCAAATGTAGGGCCGATTCTACAAGAGTCAGTCAAATGTAAGGCCGATTCTACAAGTGTCGGTCAAGTGTAGGGCCGATGCTACAAGTGTCAGTCAAACGGCAGGCCGACTCTATGTAATGTAATACAGGGCATCTGTTTTATCTCAATACAGTGAAATATCTGACGTGAACGTTTCATGCTTATCTTTTATTCGCTGTCCTTGTCTACGTTCGGTAAACTACAAAGGCAGGCGCGAGGCTCGAAAACGTAGTCCCTGACTCTACAAGTGTCAGGTTTAGGTTCCTTGCGGACTGACACTTGTGGAGACATTACTGTAATAACTTCAAATCCCAGTAAAAACCGAGGAAAAGAATCGAAGCGAAAAGAGCACCTACCCAATTTCAACAAATATTCGTCACCGACCTTAAAACTCCCCAAAAACGCGTACGAATACCCAGGTTCTCCCTTGGAAACAAAACTCGTTCCGGAGTTGTTTCCTCCGGTAATCGCGAAACGACTAATCCAAGATTCCCCCCGTCGGTTCTCCTTATTTTTCATTTGCAGCTTAAACGAGCTATTTTCTCAGGGCAGCCCCAGGAAAGCTTCCAGAGACCAGTTCGGATTACTCGAAGCGCAACCGGCCGAGAATATCTCCTAAAATCTCGTCGCGTTTACTCGTTCCTCTCGCACCCTACTGTTCCTTCTTTTTTCCTCTCCCCGAGAAAAGAGACTTAATTAATATAAACGCGATGCAAACGACCGATTACTATCACAAACCAGGCATCGTTCTTTTCTTCTTCTTCTTCTTTTTTCTTTTTAATTCGTTAACTTCGCCGCGATCTATTTACTAATGACCGGTCGCGGTTCCACCGGTGAGAGGGAGGGAACGACGACTGTCGGACCGGTGCACGGCCATAAATCGGATCGTGTGACGTTTCGATTCCAGTCGTACATTTCACGCGATAAAATATACACCGGTAGGAGGTTGAAAAAATACACTGGCCATCGTCCACGCTTTAGTCACGTTCGACGAGTTTCCATCGTTCACCGGAACAGAATGCGGTCGTGCGCTAGGCCAGGCCAGCAGCTCTGCTACCCTGGCCTGTTGTTGGCCCCCTGCTCTCTCGTCGCTGCTCAGTAAGCTTATACAAGGTGAGCCCGCTTCGAACGGTTCGCCAGCTTGATTTACGTCAATATCGTTATCTGTAGAGATAGATAGGTCGAGGGAAAGTTGAATGATTTCGAAAGTTGATGCAAGGCGGAGTGGAGGAAGTTCTTGTGGGAAGCTGGTTCTACCAAGATAGTTCAAGGATAGTTTTTCTTCGATTAAGTGTGAAGAGTGAGGGGAATAATTTGCTGTACCCTCGTGAGATTATTTATAGTTGTAAGTGTGTTTCTTTTTGAGAAATATTCTTGCGTTAGAATACAATCATATTTATCGACGAGGATTTCTTATAAATAGTATCGCTGCGCCGGGAGGGAGAAGACGGAATGGAAAATGCTCTCTAAGCTTTCGAGCTTAGTTTGGACGGCAGTGTTCCAAGTGGAAGCGTTTCAGAGATTCGAACTCGACCTCTAGTTATTTTTTTTCAGTGGAAAAATATACGGGTATTT